TATGGGAGGCAAGCACTCTACCACTGAGCCACCTTCCCAGCCCCACAAGCTTTATATTTAACTATACAAGGTTTTTTTTTCCTCCTGTAATCTTTCCAGTAAGTGGCTCATCTACCACTCCAAATAATACTATGATATCTTAAGTCACTAAGCCATAAAGCTCATTTAGACCTAGAGTTTAATCATTATATAAACAAGATCCTGTTTTCATCTAACAATGTACTATTTTGTTGTTTATCTAGGAAATTTATTTTTTGTACTGGAACTAGGGCTTGAACTCAGAGCCTTGGGCTTTCTTGCTTGACTTTTTACTCAAGGCTGGCACTCTACCACTTGAACCATTCTTCCAGAGAAAAGAATAAATTGTTGATAAAGGAAAAACTTGTCTCATCAACATGTGAAAGGGAACCAATTGTCCCATCTTATTCTAGCTTTCTTTTCTTTTCTCTCTCTTTTTCTTTTTTTTTTTTTTTCGGTTGGTCATGGGGCTTGAACTCAAGGCCTGGGCACTGTCCCTGAGCTCTCTCGTTCAAGGCTAGTGTTCTTCTACTTTGAGCCACAGCTCCACTTCCAGGTTTCTGGTACTTAATTGGAGATAAAGTCTCAATGAAACTTTTCTGCCTGGGCTGGGTTTGAACCATGATCCTCAGATCTCAACCTCTTGAGTAGCTAGGATTATAAGCATAAGGCACCAGCACCTAACTTGTTTTTTAATTTATTAAAGATGTGTTTTTTATTAGGTAATACTAAGTACAAATAGGATTTTGTTTATATAATGATTAACGTTTGTGTCTATATTAGCTTTAGTGAATTTTAATGTCTAGGGTAACATGCCAGTTGCCATGATTTGATCATTACATATTGTTATATAGTTTGAGATATCATTTTACCCAATAATTATGTGCTTCTACCAATTGAAAGTTAAAAATTATAAGTATTTTACTAGAAATCATTGATCATAGATGATAAAATATACTTTTGAATAATCCTGATAGGGTCTGTGAAACTGTTATCATGAAGTAAATATGTATTAACTTTTTCTTTGGGAGACTCAGCTGAGTTATAGTTACTTGCTGAATGACTTTGAGTAAGTTAACTAACTAGTGTTCCAGTTTCAAGTGAATAAAAATATCCTGGCTTACGTCATGGGTTGTTAGAATCAGAAGTTAATTGTGCTCTAGAGTTGTTTCTACTTTAAAATAAAGAAGAAAAATATTTTTTGTATGTTTTCTTCCAAAAACCCTTTCTCCGCCAGCAGAGTGCTATATTTCATGTCAAATGGTAATACTTTTATTACTGTTAGTTTGTGACTTAGTGGTGATCTTTAAAATCTGTTGACTTTATGAGTTCAATGTCAGTGTTTAAGAGGTTTACATCTTGGTTTTCTAAATAACAACACTTTTTTTCTCTGTGTATTAATCTTAACATTAAGAGGTTATTTGGATTGCTTTTACAGACCTTTGGTCCTCAGACTTGAACACTATTAATTCTATTGAGTCTAGTCTTTTTTTCTTACTGGTTATACAGCTATGAGCAGATTTCTTTTGCTTATATTTTAGGACAGTATTCTTGATGAGCTGGATAAAGAAGACAGTACTCATGATTCCATGTCTCAGGAATCAGAATCAGAAGAAGATGGGATTCGTGTCGATTCACAGAAGGCCCTTGCTCTGAAAGAAAAGGTAATTTTTACGTTAACTTAGTTTCTTTAAGGTAAGCAGAATACATAGAAAATTGCGTGAATTTTAAAACTTTTCTTACATAATAGAGGATATTCAAACTTGAAACTATTACTGGCTGTTTTCTTGTTAGAGCACAGTGACTAGGAATCTGGACTCTAGATCCAGATTAACTACCTCATTCAACTCTGACAAGTTCTTTAGCTACCTGTGCTTCAGTTTTCTCAGGTATAAAATGAGATTAATAATGAGAGGCTTCTCACTGGTGGCATGAGTTGTTAGTCATGTCAAGTGCCTGGGCTATCCCTGGAGTTTTTCTGTTGCTTTAGTAGTAGATTGAAGCAACTTGAATTACTGGGTGATTCTCAGCAAATGTACTTATCATAGACATCTTTGATTACTTTTAGAGTACCCAGCATTTCTCTGGATGATAAGCTCATTTCTATAGAAAAGTTACTTTGCTTTGCAAAAAGGTGGAACTCTTCAGATTGAATTCATCTAGTTGCCTTTCTTTTGTTACATTTCTATGAGTTGGTATTGCCAATAAAAGTCTAATACTAGGTATTTTATTCATTTTTCTGCCAGGGCTTTTGGTTTGTATCTATATGGTAACTATGTAGCACTTAAAAACAACAACAACAAAAAACAAAAAAGACCACTTTACTTTATCTGTTTTCTTTCAGGGAAATAAGTACTTCAAACAAGGGAAATATGATGAAGCAATAGAATGTTACACCAAAGGCATGGATGCTGACCCGTATAATCCTATGCTACCAACAAACAGAGCATCGGCATACTTCAGGCTGAAAAAGTAAGGACTTTCTATAATGTGTGAGAATGGCCTTGTGTGTATGTGGACACCAGTTTTCAAAAATTCTTTTGTAAAAAGTGTGGAAGAGATGTAAAATGTATTGTATTCTTTTAAAAAAAATTGGAGCTGGCTCTGGAGCTTGAATTTAGGATCTAAGAACTGTCCCTGAGCTTTTTGTGCTCAAGGGTAGCACACAAGGCTAGCCACAGCTTCACTTTTGGCTGTGTGTGTGTGTGTGTGTGTGTGTGTGTGTGTAAGAACTGTCCCTGAGCTTTTTGTGCTCAAGGGTAGCACACAAGGTTAGCCACAGCTTCACTTTTGGCTGTGTGTGTGTGCGTGTGTGTGTGTGTGTGTGCGCGCGCGCGTGTGCGTGCGTGTGTGTGTGTGTGTGTGTGTGTGTTTAAATGGAGAGAGTGTGCCTGGACTGGCTTTAACGCATGACCCTTAGATCTCAGCCTCCTGACTAGCTAGATTATAGATGTGAGCCACTAGTACCCAGCTCTATAAATTCTATATCTTACTCCCTTTTATTGAGTAATTTTATTTAACTTATTGAATATATCTTCTTGCTTAAACCATGTTGCCCTAGCCTGTTTTCTTTAAAATCAGGTAGTGAAGTTCTTTAGTCAATCCATAGAAGAAAAAATATTATTTGGTATGGTTTTAGAAACGAATTTCCCTATGTTTCTTGAAAAGCCATTTGTCTTCTTTCATTCTGATGAATTTAAGATATGGTCCAGTATTTATTTTGAAGTCATATTGACTTTTTTTTGGTTTTTGGTTTTTGCTTTTTTCCTGGTTGTGGGACTAAAACTCATGACCTGGGTGCTGTCTCACTAAGCTCTTTCCTTTACTACTTTGATCCACAGTGCCACTTCTGGTTTTCTGATAGCTAATTGGACATAAGAGCCTCTGAGACTTTCCTTCCTGAGCTGGCTTCAAACCATTATCCTCAGAGCTCAGTCTCCTGAGTAACTAGGATTACAGGCATGAGCCACTAGCGTCTGGCAATATTGATTCTTTAACATGTTTAACATATGCAAGTACCTGGCCTATCATATGTTTTAAAAGTAAACATTAAGAAAGAAGATAATTGTTTTAATGATTTGGAGCTATGAATTGTATTGCTGAATTTTGTCTTATTTAAATAACATTTGAGGTCTCTGAAACAAAATGATATACTGAAAATTAGGGAATTATTTACATATATAATCCTTGATATCTGTATTATATGTGCCTTATATGTAAGTTATAGAGATTAATTTGAAGTAAATTCACTTCCCAACTTCAGAGTTAGAGTATTACTATTATTTTGTTATTACTGTTATTTGACTCTATTAACTACTCTCTTGAATTGTGCATTTTTCTTTTCTCTTGATAAAAAAGATTTAATTTGTGTGTATCCCTCAATAATTTTGAGTGTTTTAAGTGTATCATAATAGGTTGGAGTGTGGCTCAAAGAAGGTTTGATTAGCACATGCAAAAGCCTGGGCTTGAAGATTCCATGATGAACAGAAAGATAAACTACAAAAAGCTTTGATCATAGTCCTCAGATCTCAGCCTTCTGAGTAGCTAGGATTGTAGAAATGAACCGCTGGTGCCCACCTTGGTTTTTATTGTAAACATTGATGCTATGAACATTTCATACACATGGTAAAGCATGTTCAGCTTTATAGAAAGATGACTTATTGTTACAAAAGTAGTTGTATACTTTGTATAGTTTAAGAATGCCTATTCATGGGGCTGGGAAGTTGGCTCAGTGGTAGAGCGCTTGCCTTGCATGCCTGAGGCCCTGGGTTCGATTCCTCAGCACCACATAAGCAGAAAAAAAAAGCCGGAAGTGGTGCTATGGCTCAAATGGTAGAGTGCTAGCCTTGAGCTGAAGAGCTGAGGGACAGTGCCCAGGCCCAGAGTTCAGGTCCCATGACCGGACCCAAAAAAAAAAAAAAAAAAGAACGCCTATTCAGTAACCTTATTAACACAGGTTTAATTTGGCTTTGTAATTGTTTTTGATCTAATGGATGTAAAATGGTAGTTCATTGTGTTTTCATATTTTTTCAACTCTATGAGATTAAGCATCCTTTTATATGTGTATTCGACACTTTTTTTTTCTGTGAAAAGCCTAATTTGCATTTTGTCTACTTTTCTGTTAGACTGGTTTTCTCTTGATTTTTATTTTGATTGGACAGCACTTGGTAGGCTGAGGCAGGAGGATTAAGAGTTCAAGGGCAGCCTTGATAATGAGACTTTGTTTCAAAAACCAAAAACCAAAAAAGCAAACCCTTTCTGCCTTCAGAACAATAAAAACACAAAGTCTTTTATTCTGGATAGTGATACTTTGACACAGCTCTGAAAACTACCTGCTGCCAGTTTGTATCTTCTCTTTTTTTTTATCTTGAAGTTCTATAAAGAACAGAGACTAGATTGTTTTTTGTTTTGAGGTGTTTTTTTTTTTTTTTGTATTGGCTGTTTTCAATTCTAGAATCAGGTAACACTTCTTTCCATAAAACAGAATAAATGTTCCTGAACAAAAATTCTCAATATCTCAGCACCACATAAGCAGAAAAAGGCAGAAGTGGTGCTGTGGCTCAAGTGGTAGAGTGCTAGCTTTGAGTTGAAGAGCTGAGGGACAGCGCCCAGGCCCAGAGTTCAGGCCCCACGACCGACCAAAAAAAAAAAAATTAAAAAAAATATATATACATGTGTGTGTGTGTAAATATATATATATATATACATATATATATATATATATATTTAGTTTTAGAAGATGAGCCCTTAAAAATTAAACCTGGTTTGTTTTAAAAAAAAATCATTCTTGCTGGGTGCCCATGGCTCAGGCCTATAATCCTAGCTACTCAGGAGACTGAGATCTGAGGATCATGGTTCAAAGCCAGCCCAGGCAGGAAAGTCCATGAGACTATTATCTCCAATTAACCACCAGAAAACTGGAAGTGGTGCTGTGGCTCAAAGTGGTAGAGCATTAACCCTGAGTTAAAAAGCTCAGGGATAGAACTCAGGCTCTGAATTCAGGCGCCATGAATGACAAAAAAAAAAAAAAGTTAAGCTTTACTTTTCACATTGGAATCTTTTTATATAAGTGGAGGTAGGGTTCCAGTTTCGTGTTGTTCAACATGCATATTCAGACTTTTGCATCCCTGTTGATGGGATAGCCATGTGTTCCCCAGGACCCTGTCACATTGAAGTTGTTGTACATTGAGTGTGCATGGATCATTTCTGTTCCTTACACTTCCCATCCAGTCCATACTATTCCTACTTACTGTGGTATTAGAGTTGCAAGCATTGATAATCCTATAGGGCACGTTCTACCTCATTCTTTAGGACTGGCCAATGTATTTTTGGACTTTTGCTCAGTATTATACATTATAGCACTTTCTCTTCAAATTCCTTGAAATATCCTATCGGGATTTTGATTAGAATCACATTAGATTTATAGATAAGTGTGGAGATAATGAATGTGAAATTATCTTCACTTAAGTCCTTTAAGTTCTTCATAGATAGTCTTACAATTTTCTGAGTTGCTGTCTTATGTGATTGTCATATCATCAATGCTGATTTTGCTGGTTTGTAAGAAAGGAATCACCTTGATAAACATTTTTTTTAGCACTGCTGGTATATTGTTTTGAGTTTTCTATAATGATCTCATCATATGATCTGAAAATAATGTCAATTTTGCTTCTACTTTTTTTTAAACCTTATATTTCTGTCTTTTGGCAGTGCACTAAGGAGGACCTCTAGTATGACTCTGAGAGAAGGCAATGGTTCTGGGCCTTCTTGTTGCATTAAAGGGAATGCTCCCGGAAGACTGCTTTTATTTTATTTTATTATTATTGTTTTTTGTGCTAGTCCTGAGGCTTGAACTCAGGGCATTGGCCCTGTCTCTGAGCTTTTTGCTTTAGGTTAACACTCTATCACTTGAACCACAGCTCCACTTCTGGCTTTTTTGGTAGTTAATTGGAGATAAGAGTCTCACAACTTTCCTGTCCAGGCTGGCTTCAAACTGTGATCCTCAGATCTCAGCCTCCTGACTAGCTAGGATTACGGGTCTGAACCACTGGCATCCAGTGAGAGACTGAGTTTAGTAGGCTCATTTAAACAAAGGGAAGTCATAAACATGCTGTTCATTTTGAATCAAATGCTACTTTTAGGAATTTTAGAAACACATTTTAAAGTTTTGATTGATTTTTATTCATTTTAATTGCAGATTTGCTGTTGCAGAGTCTGATTGTAATTTGGCCATCGCTTTAAATAGAAGTTATACGAAAGCTTATGCCAGACGAGGTGCTGCTCGATTTGCTTTGCAAAAATTAGAAGATGCCAAAAAAGGTATTAATATTTTTCAGGTCATTTGTATCTAAAAATTTCTTTAGTAGTTTACTAGTATACAAAGAATACTAAATAAGTATAACAAACTACTTTCAGAGAGCTTCCTATAAAGTATTTGAACAAGGCTCATTTTTTGCAGTTTAACATGTTATTTTAGGGAAGAATGCATTATTTGCTGTGAGTCAGACTTTGATTCGACTTTTCATTCCATTCTGTACCATCACACCTTGTGACTGGCATATTCTCTAGTTTTAAGTCTCTCATCTGTAATATAGAGATGGCTTCATCAGCCATCTTTTTGGGTGTTGTGAAGCAAAAGGTGGGGCAAGAACACTCCATGTACATAGGTGATAAAGTGGGAAATGTGAAATGAGACTGGGGAAGGAGCAGACTGGATGTGTCCAGGAAGCACTGGACACTTCGGTGGACATGTTAGATGGTAACCCCATTGTAAAACCTTTTGAAGTTCAGAAAAATTAAAAAAAAATAAGGTAGATGTACATGTGGAGCTTTTCACTTGATCATATTGAAGTATGGACTCCAGGCCTTACACTTGCATTGGTGGATGCTCTGACACTTGTGCCATGTTAATGGCCTTTTTGTTTTGCTTTTGCTTTAATTATTTTTCATACAAGGTCTTATGGTTTTTACCAATGGCTGGTCTCAGGTAATAGTTATTCTACTGTTACCTCCCAGTAGTTGGGATTACACACAAGCATATGCCACCATGCCTAATTTTATACTGTTCTTACCATGTTTTCATTTACTGTAAATTACAAGCCTTCTGTTACTACACAAAAATGGATTTATGGCCAATGCCCCATGCCTGTACTCCGAGCTATTCAAGAAGCTAAGATCTGAGTATCATGGTTCAAAGTCAGACTGTGAAAGTCTGTGAAACTTATCTCCAATTGACCACTGAAAAGCAGGAAAAAGAGCTGTGGATTTATGTAGTACAAATGACAAAATATGGAGAAAGCTAACTTCAAATAGATTTGGTTTAATGGTATAAACATCTATAATAACACATACCCTTAGAGTTGATGGAAGATATTTATTACAGAATTTTGGTAGGATTTTGACTGTCCTGGGTGAGAATGAATAACGTACAGTTTCTAATGTTAATATTTCTTAGGTATTCCTTCATTTCATTTTAGAATAGTTGATTATATGTTGCATATTATTACTTTTTTGCAGGTTTTAAAAATGCTAGCCTTTAAAAAATTCTTTATCTTTTCTTATACTTAGATTATGAAAAAGTGTTAGAGTTGGAGCCAAATAACTTTGAAGCTACAAATGAACTCAGGAAAATCAATCAGGTAAACTACAGCTACTTTAAGTACATATATGACTAAATTTGATGAAATTAAAGCTTTTGTATAGATTCTGAATTACAGGTTTCTTGATGTAGAATCTTTTTAATTTTCTTTGTACAAGACAGTTTTACCAAATGATTTGAAAGCTAGCAGAATGCAGTAATACTTAAATGATCATCACTTAGGAGTTGGCAGAGATCTTTAGAATTATTGCTTCTTCACTTTTCTCAAATAAAGGATAACTTTTTCATTATTTATTTGACTTTTTTGTTTTTGTTTTGTGCTATGATTTTTGTGCTATTTGCATATATTTTAATTCTGTACTGTTAAAATTGCTCCTACTTTGTAATCTGTTTCTTACTAGGAATAATACTATTCTATAATGTAAAATTAGTTGCCCAATGATGTTGAGCATTTGTATATTCCTTTCACTTTTTATAAGCTGTAATTGTTTTGCCATCTTTAAGACACTGAGAAAAAAAAAAGGGACCATGATTGGGAGAAAATCTTCCCTTTTTTTGGTGCTAGTCATAGGACTGGCCTGGGTGCTGTCCCTGAGCTTTTGTGCTCAATACTAGCCGATTTTTTAATTTAATGTAATGTAATTTTTTTTGTCGGTTGTGAGGCCTGAACTCTGGGCCTGGGCCACTGTCCCTCAGCTCTTCAGCTCAAGGCTAGCACTCTACCATTTGAGCCACACCGCCACTTCCAGAACCGTGATTCTCAGTTCTCAGCCTCCCGAGTAGCTAGGTGTGAGCCACCACTTCCTGGCCTAGCTGATTTTTTTTGTGTAGTTAATTGGAGATAAAAGTCTCACTGGCTTTTTTGCCCTGGCTGGATTTGAACTATGATCTTCTCAGATCTCAGCCTCCTGAATAGCTAGGAGTGTAGGCGTGAGCCATTGGCACCTGGCTAATCTGCTTTTAACTATTCCCATTACTTACCACACATAAAAACTATTGGTAATTATCTTCATGGTAATTATATTGTCCTATGTTAATGACTGAATATTAAATTGAGATACTTGTGATATGATCTTAATTAAACTATTCAAGGCTTCTAGAATAATGCCTGGCCTGTACAGAAATTCAACAAGTATTTATTAAATACATTAATGAACAACTGCCTGTACTGGATGTTTCTTATTTTAATTGAAACAAGAAGCACATCATTCACCTACATGTATAGCATTTTACTTCAATCAGTAGAAAGACTATTCCAGTTCTTTGAATGTGGCAGAAATTCTAATATGTTTGAGTAATATACATTTTGAAGAAAAATATGTATGTATCTTGCATTGCTTGTTTTATTTTAGCTGAATATTTTATGTCCTAGGCTTTAACAGCCAAAGAAAACTCACATCCAAAGGAAGATACTACACTGATCAAGTCAACTGAAGGAGAGAAAAAACAAATTGAAGAACAGCAGCATAAGCAGCAGGCCATTTCAGAGAAAGACCTGGTAATCCAAAAGGATTCTGACTTGAAATAAACATGGTTTGCAGAGTGCTTACTCCTAGTTTCTGGTATATTAGTTGAGTTTTTGTCTCCTCTGATGTTATAATGAAATTTTTGAGTGGGAACTAGAAATTGAATACATTAAACCCTGTGGTGTCTATTGATTCAAACATTGAGTAATTAATGACTTAATATATATGAATTATAATTTAAAATAATTATAATTATATACAGTAATAGAAGCATTCAAATTTGGGGAAACTATGTAGATTTAAAATAGTATAGCAGTATTTAAAATAGTTATAACCAATAGAAATATAATTCATTCTTATGATATACTTATTAATTCATATGAAACCAATTTTGGTTAAAATTCCTTTATAAATCATGAGGTGAGATTTAATTTCATGGACCTATAAAGGACTCCTATTAAATTTTAAGGAGGGACTTGGGATATATTATGTGAATGATTATGAATAAATAAATATAACATTTCCATACAGTATAATTTGTTGTATATTTAGGCATATTAATGTTACTGAAGAGTGAGCTGTACTATTCGAGGACTTTATTCTTTCACAAAAATTGAGTGCTCTACCCCCAAACCACACCTCAGTCCACTTTTGATGAGTTATTAATGACCATAAAGACAGCATAACATTGGGCATCTAAAAAAATATGCTTTGAAATTTAAACTTTGTATATTTAAATAATGGAATGATGATGATTGTTGCAGAGTAATATAACAGTATGTATTTTAAACCTTTCCAGTAATGAAAAAGAATATCTTTAATAACTAACTTATAGATTCTAAAGTCCATGTTATTAACTAGATTTTCAACAATTAAAATATACTGTGGGCTGTATGTGGTAGTAGTGCATGCTTGTAGAATCTCAGCACTTGGGAGGTAAATGAGGAGGGTCTAGTAAGATTAGCCTGGGCTACATAGCAAGATCTAGTTTCAAGAACACAAGAAAACCCACTTAATAACAAACATATAATACAAACATCTCTCTCTTTTTCTCTCTCATAGCCAAACATCTGTTTATACTGTAATTACTGATATATTTGTCTTTGATATGTTTCTTAAGATTTGAATGTATATGTTTTAACTCTTCATACTTGTCTTCAAAATGCTAGGGAAATGCATTTTTCAAGGAGGGGAAATATGAGAGAGCCATTGAATGCTACACCCGAGGGATAGCAGCAGATGGCGCTAATGCTCTCCTTCCTGCTAACAGAGCAATGGCCTATTTGAAAATTCAGAAGTAAGTATTGGTTATTTTTTTTAATGCTTTGCAAGATGAAAATTTACTATAAATTGACATATTAACCAGAAAATAAAATTTAATTGATTTATTCTTGAACATTAAAGTTAAATGAATCATTGATTTAAGCTAATTATTTGTGTGTGTGTGTGTGCACACATGTGCGTGCGTGTCCTAGGGCTTGAACTCAGGGCCTGGGCGCTGTTCCTGAGCTTTTATACTCAAGGCTAGTGCTCTACTACATGAGCCACACAACTTCATTTCTGACTTTTGGGGAGTTAATTGGAGATAATAATCTCATGGACATTTTTGCTCAGGCTAGCTTTGAACTGTGATTCTCAGTTACCAGCCACATGAGTAACTAGCATTATAAGTGTGAGCCACTAGCACTCAGCGTACAGTTATTTTTTTAATTATCATTTATTATTTTAGATAGTTGTACAATGGAGTACCATTCACATCAGTTTATAAATACAATGCATCTTGATACTGCCCCTTTTGTCATTTTCCCATTTTTCCCTTCTTAATTGTGATTATAAAGGTGATGTACAGAGGGGTTTCAATTCTATAAGTCAGGTAATGAGCACATTTCTTGTTGAACAATGTCTTCCTGCCTCCACTCCCCAAGAAAAATAATCAAATAGTTAAGTTGATACATTTTGAGTGAATATAGCAATAGCAGCAAGATTAGAAAATGCAATTTAAAATCAGCAACTAATTGTATCTTCCCTTATCATCTGGGAAGTCACAGGTCACAGATGGTCGGTCAGTCAACACGCAAGTGCTGTTCTGCAGGAAATAGTGGGATCCTCTGAAAATTGCCTTAGCTTAAATAATCCCCATACAAAGTCCATAGTGTAGACAAAAACATTTCTTATAGCTGGGTGCTAGTGGCTCACACCTGTAATCCTAGCTACTTAGGCTGGATCTGAGGACTAAGGTTCAAAACCAGTCTGGGCACAAAAGTTCATGAGACTTGTTTCCAATAAACTGTTCAAAAACAGCTGGAAGTAGTGCTGTGGCTCAAGTGGTAGAGCACTAGCCTTGAGTACCAAGAGGCCCTGAGTTCAAGCCACAGAACTGGAAAAATACAGAAACACATTTCTTATCAGCATGCAGTTATTTTTAAGAAGTTTAAGTTTGGAGGGAGACACAGAAAAGGAGACCAACACTCTTTAAAATACTCAAGATAATGCTACAAGGGACATGGGATATGGGCGTACAGAACTGTAGAGAGCCTGAGCCAACCTGGGGCAGTATGTTCATAGATTAAGTGATTTAAAAAGCTGAGACTGAATTGTCCTCTGAAGAGAAAATAAGTGTGGTAGTGTAGATCTAGAAACATGGGTGGGAGTAGAAAGTGGGGTCCATAGGACTGTTCCCCAGAGCACAGAGACAGCCAGAGTCAGGCAAGCCTCTGACTCCATGCTCTGCAAAGGAGTGACTGTCCTGAAAAGTGAGGCATGAGAGTGAGGCCCATGGAAAATGTGTTGGTAGAACAGTCTTCTCTCCTGCTGCAAGTGAATTGAAGAAATCAGAGGCATTTAAGTTCTTAGAAATTCTGATTTTGTTCATATGAAGTCTCTCTTGTGGGTAGGATGCCATTCATTAAGACATCAGAAAGAATGTAACCACAGGAGATTCCTTTTTTTTCCCCCTTTTAAATATTCTTATGTAAGTTTTCAAACTTTGATGAATGTAGTACACTAGATCTAGATATCCTTCATCTAATTTTACTTGTCTTTCCTCTCCCTGAGCTGTTATAAAGCAAATCAAAGTTATTTCATCCCTAAAGTAAAGGATATCTCATAACTGTCAAATCGCTATCACTCATAATAAGTTAATAATTTATTAATGTTCTTTTTTGGGGGGCGGTACTGACTGGGGTTTGAACTCAAGGCCTTATGCTTATTGGGAGAGCTCTCTAGCACTTGAGCCACACCTCTATCCCTTTTTACTTTAGTTATTCTGTCTCACATTTTTTTTGCCTAAGCCATGGACCACCCATCTTTCTACTTACGCCTCCTGTGTAGATGACGGCATAAGTATAGACTACAAAGCCTTGCTTCATGTTACTTCAGATAGGGCTTGACCTTTTGGGGGGAGGGTGAGCAGTGCTCAAGTTGGTCTTAAACCATAATCTTATCTCTCTAAGTGGAAAGGATAAGGCATGATCCAATGTACATGGCTTGCCAGTGTTGTATAATTAATGGAAGACTCTAAAGGTTTTATGTTGTTCTTGTTGCTTAGTCATGGATTCGTTCAGCAGTGCTGGTAATCAAACCCAGAGTCTATGCATACAAGGCTTGGACTGTCTCCACACCCTTGAGTGTATGCTTGGCTGTTCTTAGCTCTTTGTTATCATAGAACAGCACTCATTCACTCTTAATTCACTGCTCTATGCACGGCTGAGTAGGATTCATGCCATCAGTCTATCAGTTGATAGACCATCAGATCATAAGGAGTTCTTAATTTTGTGGGGGTAATGTTTCTTTAAATGGGGTATACACTGAGTGTTAGTGAAGGTTTGCTAGGAAGTGACAGTAGACTGCTGTACGTGGAGGTGCTGTGAGGTCTCTCATCTGCTCTCCTCACGTTTTACCATCATGAATCCCATCCTCCAGCAGACCTTTTCCTGACTTTACCTCATCATCTTCCTCCTCTGCAGATGGTCTGAAGATTTAGTGAGAAAGAAAAAGTTTAAAAAATACTCTTCACTCTGAACTGCTGATTTGGGAGTTTGTAATTGGAGTTATGTACATGTGTTTTAAATTAGCAGCTCAGTTTGTATGGAGTTTTTCTGTCAGCTATGTTTTTTTTCAGTCAGTAATTTTGCCATGTTCCATAGATATGAAGAAGCTGAAAGAGACTGCACACAAGCTATTACGTTAGATGGCTCATATTCTAAAGCTTTCGCCAGAAGAGGAACTGCGAGAACATTTTTGGGAAAGATAAATGAGGCCAAACAAGGTAACCCTTTGTCATAGTGTCTTCTGGTGGCCCAGATGTGGAAGCAGAGATGCATGTATGCAGCTCTCCCACAGTTCAGGGATACAGAACTTTCTTTCCAAAGTCTAACATGGATGGGTTGGAAGGACTGCACTCCCATAATGTGCCTGATCATTTTGAACTTTGGCTCATTGCCAGTAGAAATTAGTGGAAAATCTGAATTGCAGATAAGAAGGAAAAGCAAGGGGCTGGGAAGGTGGCTCAGTGGTAGAGTGCTTGCCTTGCATGCCTGAGGCCCTGGGTTCAATTCTTCAGAACCACATAAGCAAAATGAAAAAAGCTGGAAGTGGTGCTGTGGCTCAAGTGGTAGAGCACTAGCCTTGAGCTGAAGAGCTGAGGGACAGCGCCCAGGCCCAGAGTTCA